TTGTGTCTTGTATGAAATGACCTTGTAACATGATATTGAACTTGTCCTTGACATGCCTTATTCGTACAATACTTGGACTTGTCTTGTAATGTTGATAATTTAATCCCTTAAGTAGATTAATTTTCCATTTATGCTTCCATCGGTTTAATCATGACTCCTTGTATCTTTTTATCAAGCATCGTGACCCCTTTGTATCTTGGCTTCATTAGTGTACTTCATAGACTTGCACATTTGTCTTGGGATGTTTCAATTACACATGTGTTATTTAATAAGTAATTAAACCATGTATCTTATACTTCTGGTATATCTATTTCAATGAATTTCATATGCTATATATCTTGTTTCTAGTCTATATAGAAGCACACTATGAATTTTTGACATTTTCACATGCCATGTTAGTTGATGAACTTAGGGCATGACTTGTGTGTTCCAAAATCTTGGTTGTGCATGAAACGTGGTTAATGCATTTTTTGTATTTGATACAATCTTGGTTGCACAACTTGTTGATTTTAGGACTTGGGATATCAATCAAGAATGGGGGAAGGTACCCTTGGGTTGAAACCCCTAAATTGATCCCAAGAACGGGGGAAGGTACCCTTAGGTTAATGGCCCTAAAGTGATCCCAAGAACGGGGGAAGGTACCCTTGGGTTGATAGCCATAAAGTGATCCCATGACTAGGGGAAGGTACCATTGGGTTGGTAACCCTAAAGTGATCCCAAGAGTACGGCTTTAATCTGGGCGATATCCAAATTTCCACATTGCTTGATTTCACCCTTTAAATTTCAAGTTGTTATTCCTTGAAGATATAAATTTATCGTGTATGTCAAATGCTCCAATCTTGTTTACTTGCATAAATTTTATGTCATGTTCTTGCATAGATATTACGCCTTATTCTTGATTTCATGTATAACTCTTTTCATGTTTCATGGAAGTTCCATCCTTGTCTTATTGCATAGATTTTATGTCTTGCCCTTGCATAGATTGTATGCCCTGTTCTTGCATAGATATTATGCCTTGTTCTTGTTTTCGTGTATTACTCCTATCGTATTAATTGGAATGCTCCAATCATGCTAATCGCATTTATAATGTAATTCTTGCTAACATATATCTGAATATACTTCTTGTTGTGTTAAATAGTATGTTCTAATCATGTAAAGTGCCTTGACAATGTGAACTTGTATTCTAGTAACTCCTTGTCGTGTTCTTGGATTGTCCGTGAATGACTTGTAGCTTTTAAGTTTCCATTTCAGGCAAATGTTAGCATGAGATGCCTTTTGTAGTTTTATTTGTCAAATTTGTATTACTTGACTCCATATTTGTAATGTGTGCAAAAGTACACCATTTGTATTGTATTTGACATGTATGAGATGAGGTCGGAGGCCAATAACACGTAATTTGTATCCCATGTATTTTTCGACTTTATGAAATTTTATGAAAATATTAAAAGAATGCCAAGTTATTGTTTTGCCATGGTTGCATCGGGTGTGGGAATTCAATTTTCCTTCTTTCATAGGGTCTCATTAATGATGTATGAAGTGTGGTCAATGGTCAAACGGTCATTTGAAGTCATTTGTTGATTTTGGTTTTCAATTTTCTCATTTCAAGATAATTTTCGCCTTTTTGGCCGTTGGAGGGTCGGATTTTGACTCGGCCATTTCTGGGAGCCGCGGACCATTCCCGCGCCCTCAAAATTATCATTTACGTTTGCATGAATGATCGTTTCCATGAAAAACCCTTTCGTTTGTGTTTTGAGCCTCCTATGGAATCATTTCACCTTTTTGTTTAAAAACTCGGCCCAAGGGCATTTTTGGGATTTTTTTTGGCAAATAAATTCCGTTCTCGACTTTGTCATATAGAAAATGTGATTTTAAGGGGAGTTTCTTCATGACATTTTTTTGAAAAATGTCATCTTGACCTCGAAAACAGCGCTCTAAACTCAATTTTCTGCATTTTTATTGTTTTTGCTGTTTTTCTGCAACCTCGGTGGGTTGAACCGGTTCAGGGTGGGTTGAACCAATTCAAGTGTCATTTTTGGTTCAGAATGGGCGTTCTGTCCATGTTGAACCGATTCAAGAAATGTTGAACCAGTTCAAGTCTTCCAGAGTTTTCAACTTTGGCCTTCCAACTTCAAACTGATGTAACTTCTTCGTTTTAACTCCGAATTGATCTGTTCTTGAGTCTAAACTGTCCGCATCAAAGTAAGCTTTCCAATGGTACTAATTTCAGCTTCAGATTCTTTTTCTAACTCAAGATATAATTTTTTTAGTAAAAGGGTGTCGGATTTGGTTCGAACCGGGATAGGGTTCATCTGGGATTTCAGTTCCTTTGGCCTTGGGACTTCATGTGAAGTTTCCAAAGGATGGTTTTGGATGTTTTTAATCTAATTTGACTTGTTGAAAGTTAAATTCCTTCCTCCTTAGGTAAAATGACTATTTTACCCTTGGTCATTCGTTCGGTAGTGTTTTCATACCCTTGTCTTTGTTTTGCTTCCGCACTTTGTTCCTTCAGGTTCCGTGACCTCATGGAAGGTTATCAAAGGGTTTTAGAGGTGTGTTATGCCTTGAAAGATCATTATCTTATTTCTTGTTTCCGTATCTGGATCCGTAAACGGGTCAATAATCGGTTCATCATTGTAGTACCGGGTTGAATCAAAACCTGGGTCGTTACACAAGGAGTTAGACACATCAAACCCAATGTTTTAATACCTTAGCCCGTACCAATCCCAAGTCTTGAAAAACCTCACATTCCAACCCACGCGCCATCTAAGTCATCCAAAATTTTAATAACCTATTATCAAATAAACATTTACAAAAAGAAAAAATATTAAAATGTGTAATTAAATACACTTAACATGAAATAAAACCATTCATAACATTTGAAAAGTAGTGTAACTTGTTAATATTACTTCCTTTACGTATTCAAAAAGAAATTAATATCTTATATTCTTTATTATTTTATTTTTTTAAAAAAATAAAATTCAATTATTATAAATTTTTATTTTAAAATTTTAAAGCATAGTTGTCAAAGTTAAGTTAATACCTACTATAAAAATATAAAACTATAAACTAGAACTTTAAGAAGAAGAAAAAAATACCTCTTACGAGTGAGCAAAAATCCCATTAAAAGTTTTTCACGTGCACAGCTAGCCCTTGTCTTTGAAGGCGCCGTAAATAGTCATGATTTTTCACAAGGCGCAATTAATTCCGTAAATAAGTAAGAAAAGGGAAAGCATAAATAAGTCTTTTACGAGTTGCAAACGTTACTGTGAATAATATTTTTATTTACGAGTAACCCATGAATTTTTTCAAAAAAATTATATCTTAATAATATTAAATTTTCCCTTTTCTCGAAATACCAATAAATAAAATTTGTTACATTCACAACATGAAGTGCCTAAATGTATATTCATTTATCTTACAACTCTGCAAGAATTGTAGTGACTTTTATTGTATTTTGGTTTCTTCTGATTGTTAAATCCAGTATATATATAGCATTACTATAGTTGTGAAATTTCACAAATTTCTACTCACCAATAGAAGTGGTAATTTTTTTTTTTTTTAAAAAAAAAAAAAAAGGTCAAACAAACGCACAATCCATAACACGTTGCTTATATGACTCGAACCCTCAACCGTACCTTCGAGTTGGAGAAATCATTATATTCCCAACTAATAGTTCCAGTTGTATAAAAATGGTGAAGCTCACCATTTAAAATTTTGATCTCGGAAGTGGTAGCCAATATCCACTAAATTCATTTATCCCTTTCTTCTTCTTTTTTTTTTTTTTTTGTTAACTGTATTTCTCTTGAGCTAAGAAATAAAAATATTCAAGGGATTAAAAGCTCTTCTTTTCCTCTCACCAATTTCTTAATAGAATCATGGCATAGCCTTTAAAGCTAATATAATCTACAACTAACACCTTTAATCTTTTTAACACAATACGAACTAGCAGGTGAAACAATCAATATTTTTTAATAGAATTATGAGGGAGCTTTTAAAGCTAATATGATTTACAACTAACACCTTCATGCTTTTTAATACAATACGAATTAGCATGTGAAAGTGAAACAACTGATCGTAACACAATATGGCCGCAGTGGCTTATTACTTCTCTCAAATCTGTTTGTATTGATATTTGAATGTGCAATAAAAATTTTTGGTTGGTATATATATATATATATTTACTTGGTGTTGTTTGGTTGCATTCATTGATCAATTAAAATTGTGAAATACATTATTGTTTAGGAAGGGAAATGAAAGTTAAATGAAGGGAAAAACAGAAAGAAATATTATTTTATATTTGATTTAAAAACACATAGAATAGAAAAAGAGTGAAAGTTTGATTAAACAATTGAATGTACAAGTCATCTTGCACAAGACTGCAATTTTTTAAAAGAATGCAGTGCAAAATCGCGTCATTGGTATTTAATCTTTTCCCTTTTGTCTTTTTCACTTTAAGAATCGGTTTCCGACTGAACAAGTATAGAATAAACTCAACATTATATTATTAATATGTTGAAGCAATAAAAATACAAATCATTTTGTAAAGAACATTTTTTATAAGTTACTTATAAAATATTTGGACTCTTTTCACATCTGAATGATACATATCCAACTCATTCCCCAGTTCCCTCTGACATGTTCGGTGCGACACTCAATTGAGTAGGTGAAAGATGCGGTCATAGGGCTTCAACGTGGAGAAACCCCTCTCCATATCCACATGTAAATTGGTAGGTTGGCGTTTTGGACTCTTTTCACATGAATGAATGAGGAAACGTATTAATGACATTACTATCCAACTCATTCAATATCTCCACCCCATTTCCCGTTGACATGTTCGGTGCGAGAGTAGGTGAAAGATGCGTTCATTGGGCTTCAACGTGGAGAAACCCCTCTCCACATCCACATATAAATTGGTAGGTTGGCTATTCCCAAATCGGTCTTACACTTACCTATCATTGATGGAGATGGTAAATGTAGTTTGCTTCAAACGGTACAAGTGTACAACCCCCGAATTTATATATACACTCGATGTGAAACATACATCACATATAATGATACTGCAATTCTCTTACTAGACATCAATATGACACACATTGCCCCGGCAGCCAATTCGGTGAAAGTGATAGAAAATTGCCGAGTTTCGCCGCCATCAGGTGCGGTGGCCGATCAGTTCCTCCCCCTCACTTTTTTCGACATTCAATGGCTACCACTACCTCCTCTCCAAAAGCTTCTCTTCTACGAGTTCCATCACTCCAAGGCTCATTTCATAGAGACCCTCATTCCGCATCTCAAACACTCACTCTCTCTCACTCTCAAACACTTCTTCCCTTTCACTAGTAACATGATCATTCCCTCGTCAAATTCTAGCAAGCCACAAATCCGTTACGTGGAGGGTGACTCAGTTTCAGTAACCTTTTCCGAGTCTAGTGACGATTTCAATTACCTTACCGGAAATCAACCACGAAATGCTGATCAATTTTATCCCCTCATCCCTCAGATACCAGAGATTTATAGTACCAATGTGTCCGGTTCCGGGACAATAGTAGTTGTCCCACTTGCAGCTCTACAGGTCACGGTTTTTCCCGAGTCCGGCATTTGTTTCGGGTTCGCCTACCACCATGTTCTGGCTGATGGTAAGGCCTTCAACTGTTTCATGAAGTCATGGGCTTCCGTTGCTAAATTTGGCGGTGATGCTGAATTGTTAGCTGGTGGGTACCTCCCATTTTGTGACAGGACTATGATAAAAGACCCAACTGGGTTAGATACAATATTTTTGAGCCAAGTTTGTGGAGAGAGGAAACTTGAAGAGCTGTGTCAAACTCAATGCCCTCCCAGGAGCAGCAACAACAATGTTCGAGCCACATTTGTCATATCCCGAACCGATGTTCAACGACTCAAGGACTCGGTCATGGCTCATCGAGGGCAACAACATTCAACCGTACCATTATTACATGTATCTACGTTCACTGTAACATGTGCCTACATGTGGGTTTGCATTTTAAAAACACGCGCAAGCACGAGCGTGGACAAGGATGTTGATGAAGAAGATGAATTGGATCACTTTGTTGTTGCGGCAGATTGTCGAGAACGATTGGATCCACCCATACCCGCAACTTACTTTGGTAATTGCTTAGCACCTTGTTTTGTAACGGCAAGACATGGCCAACTAATGGAAGAAAAAGAAGGCTTTTTTGTAGCTGTAGAGTTGTTTGGAGAGGCCATTGACAAAAGGCTTCACAAAGGCGAGCCAGAGGGAGTGTTAAAAGCTTCAGAGACTTGGCTGTCCGATTTTAACAATTTGAATATGCGCAGACTGATGTCGTTAACAGGGTCACCCAAGATCGGCATCTACGAACCGGATTTTGGGTGGGGAAGGCCACGAAAGAGCGAAATTGTTTCAATAGATATTACGGGAGGTTTCTCCATCAGTGAGTGTAGAGATTCTCAAGGAGATGTGGAGTTTGGCGTGACCTTCCCAAAGATCGCCATGGATGCTTTTGCTTCAATTTTTGCTAATGGCCTTAAGCTTCTGTAAGCATTTAACAAGTTTTTTTTCAATAAACTGTTCCATCAACCCATTGACAGATAGTGTTGTAGTGTGTAACATGTGAGATATTAATTTTGTGATTGATAAATTTCGGGGTTAAAACATGTCAAGTTGAGTTATAATTTTTTGTTTAATTTTGTAAGACAGAAACAGAATACGGAAGTGCAATCAATATGCGTTTGATATTGATTCGGTTGACAACATCACATTAGAAAAGATATGCTGGTGAGATCACGTGACTTTTGGTGTTTAGGCACTTGGAAAATTCAACGTCGTACATTTCAAAAACTGCACTGGCATTATGGAACCGGTTCCACCCCATGGAATTAGTTGTGTTGTTGGATTCATTGTTTGCGAAAAACTCTATCAATGTGGAACCGGTTCCACCCATGGAACTAGTTGCGCACGTGTTTTACAAAAATGCATTTTTGGGAATAAATCTCATTGGTCAGGTGGAACCAATTCCGCCCCATGAAATCGGTTGCACTCTTACAAAAGGAAAGTTGCTTTCCTATTCTAATTGGGTTTCCTTTTTGATCAGTTTTAGATTTTTGCAAGATAATACATGCACAAAATTGACTTGGTTTTCAAGTCTTTTTAGGTCTTCCAAAATCTATGTAAACTCTCTTTTTCTCCAAAATTTTCAAGGCTTCAAAATTTGTATTTTTCTAATTGAGAGAATTGTTTTGAGATATTTTTTTTCCTTCAGAAAATCAATTTGATTTTTCTGATTTTATTTTTGAGAGCACACACATAAACATAAGAGTGGTTAAAGATAATTTTCTTTATCTTATCCGAATTGGAGCATAATTGAAGATTCGAAAATTCTGAGAAGTAAGATTTTATTCTATCTTCATGAAATCTAAATTTGAAGAAAAAGGCTGTTTCGATCATACTTTGAGGGGGTCAAAGCATTCACGAAGTATTGTTTAATCTACTAACAGTCCTTCTATACAGAGATCATGAATAACCCTGAGGTCGAGAGCTATTGGTCGGGAGAGTCACAAAACCAAGGATTGCCAACAATTGGTTTTTGGTAGAAAATATGATGTGAGTCTGAGTCAAAGTGAATTATACTTTTCTTCAAACATGGTGGATTGTTTCGCTCGAGACGACAAAAGTCTCCGTGTTTTTCATTCCGGTTGGTCGAATTTTTTCTAACTAGGGTTTCCACGCACAAAAATTCGGTATCATCTCTCAAACTTTATTTACTTTACTTGCAATTTATTTTTGCTTTGTGGGTTTGTTTTTAGTTTTACTTTGATAAAATTAAAATCAGTAAAAATTAGTAAAAAAAAAAAAAAGTAAAACCTATTCACCCCCCTCTAGATTATTTTAATACAAACTTCACATTCATTTCGCATTATGCAACTCATAATTAGCATCAGAGCCATTCTCTACATATTGACTTGATCCTTGTAAAGGTTTTTTTAAAAAAAATAAAAATATTTTTATTTAAAAAAAAAAATCATGGAAAATCCTATGAACAATGGTGAATTGGTTCGTGTATGTGATAGGTTAAATTGTGATGATGACATAGCTCTCTTGTCTAAAATTTTTAGAAGGTTCCTTAAGAATAAAAAGAATATAAATTGTAGAAAAGGAGATTCTTCTAAATCCAAAGATGAGAAAAATTAGAAAAATGATTCTTTTGCTTTTGTTGCTCATATTGATAATAATACTGATAATGATTTTTTTTTTTTTTTTGGTGTAAGAGATCTTACCAAATATATGTTATTGAGCGAGGATTTCAATGAGCAATCTAAGAAGTTGGGAGAAGTAGAAAGCATGAAAGATGCATTGAAAAAAGAGAGAGATAGCTTGAAGAATGAGAATGATTCATTGAAGAAGGAGAATGAGTAAAACTAGAGAAATTGCATGAGGAGAAAAAAAACTGAAAATCAAAATCTTCAAGGAAAGGCAAAAATTCTCGAGAGCGAGTTAAGTCAAGCTAATTCTGCTAGAGAATCTCTTGTTGCCAAATTTAATTTTCTTGAGCTTGAATTGAAAAAATCACAAGAGAAATTGATTGCTTTTACTCATGGGTAGATCAGGCTTGATAAGATGATTAGTGTTGGTAAGCATGTAGGTGATAAAATTCGATTAGGTTTTGATGAGGCTTCAACTAATTTTTTTCCTAAATAAGGCTTCAACTAATTAATAAGAGGGTTCAAATTGTTTTTGTTAAATCCATCAATTTGAATGTGCTCATTTCTAAACCTAAATCTTTTGTTTGGTCTTTGCCTTCTAAGAATATGTCCATGATACTTTATTGTTCTTATTGTAGTAGAACTGGATATAGTCAATACTATTGTTACAAGAAGAGAATGGGTAATTCTGTATTTGAATTTCATGCTTATAATTATTTTGCACATAATAGGTTTCATGCTAGAAAGAAAAATAATTGGAATAAATCTAAAAAAATTTCATGCTAAAAAAAATTCACATAAGAAAAATAGTGTTATTGATGGTCCTCAAAAATCTCTTTAAGGATTGATGTGAAAACGGTTTGGGTGAAGAAAGAGGATTTGAAATTATATGTACTTGTTGAATTTGAAATTATATGTACTTGTTAATGCTATGGAACTTGCATGCAGGGGCGGCTCGATGTAACTCGGGGCCTTAGGCGAAAAATAAAAAGTGGCATTTTCATATTATAATAAGCAATATATTAATTATTAAATAATAATTAATTAAAAATCATCCTTCTTGCTTTTTGAGATGCAAACTTACTAATTAAATTTTTATATTCAAGTGTGGTTAAATCTAATTGGACCATTTTCTACTAATAAATCTCTTACTTTTGTATCAATATTTTTCCCAGGATTATATATATATTTGTGGGAATAGTCTTAGAATATGATTTTCGATTTCTTGTTTCACTTTCTTCCAATTCTTTTTTGTTTTTCTTGATTATTATTGTGAATCAAGTCACTAGTATTTTTTTTCTTTCATTAGTGTATAATCTTCTAATTCTTTTAGATGATTTGATTGTTCATTTGCTGAACTTTCACCTAAATTTTTTGTTAGGTTTTAATTATTAGTTGCAACAAATTTATTAATAGCTCCCTTTTGAGATGAATTAGTTTATCTATTATTCTCTTTTTTTAAGTTTTTCAAATCCAGATTCATACTTTCTAGCATACATATTAAAAAATATAGGTAAAAATAGTCACAAGACTCACAACTCACAAACAAATATATGAAAAATATAGAAATATACAAATTTATAATAACAAAAGTTAGTAAAACTAAAAAATAATTAAAGAAAAAAGAACAATATAACCTGATTTAGAAAGTCCCAATTCAATGCTGCTGCAAATTCTTCAATTAAAGAATAGTGCGTTCAAATTAAGATTTGAGACTAATGAATATTGAGTCGAGAAGAAAGAAAATTATAAAATTGTAATGAGAGAGAACAGATGACTTGTAACTTGTAAGTAACTTGTTGAGTTTGCTGAGAGGAGGAGAGAAATCAAAATGAACGTGAAGATTAGGAATAATAAAAAATATATAAATAAATAAATAAAATTCGCTTCCCAATACAACGGCTAAATATTTATTGTGGTACAACTTACCAAAAAAATATTAAATATATATAGCACTGGTGTAAAAAAAAAAACTTATATAAGATAGACAAAGAAATAAAATATTAATGAGATATTTTAGGAGATAAATAAAATAAAAAAAAAATGAGATATTTTAGAAGATAAATAATTTCTCACTATTTCTCACTTGTATAAAATTTAATGAAAAGGCGTGAAAAAATAAATAAATAAATAAATAAATAAAATAGAAGAAGAAGAAGAAGAAGAAGAGTTATTTTAGGAGATAAATTTTTTAAAATTAGTGTTCAATAAAGAAACCATTACAATATATCATATACAAGGCAACTATAATATTTTGGAGCCTTTTTATTGGTTGGGGCCTTAGGCTTTCGTCTAACTCGCCTAAGGCTCGATCCACCCCTGCTTGCATGTTTCCAATAGGTCATTGGGTACAAAACCCCCACGTGTAGTAAATCCTAAAAAGTTTTTATGGTCATGGACTATATTTTGATGTCTATCATGTTTCCATTGGACCATATCTTATAGTTTAGAATTGGGTTATGTTTTCATTGAAAATGAAAAGATCATATTTTTCTTTATTTTATATGAGGGATATTTATTTATCTTAAATTCACTATATTTTTATTAATACAAATTGGGACACATGATTATTAGATGAATGATATTCTTGATTTGTAATTTATATTTTGAAAGTCAATTTGCTATGTTTATTTATTTTTAAAGATGCGTTTCTTGAGTTCATATTTTTCACGTACACTAATCCAACTTTGAGAAAATTTAATTGAAAATCATTGTGAAATTGACTTGGTCATACTGATCATAAAAGGTATAAAGGTTAATGTTTAAAAAAATAATAGAGCATGTGTTTTTTAAAATTAAAAAAAAAATGAAAATGAAAATTTCAGCATGCAATAGAAAGAAAAAATAAATAAATATTGTTGAAATCTTTGCTAAAGAAAATGCTACCAATTGAGATTAGTTCGAAAGTTCATATAAGATTTTGAAATTGATTAAATTTAGTAAAAAGAAAAGAGGAGACAAGTCAAAATATTAAATTTTTATCTACTCTTTAGAGTGAAAGCCACCTTGTATAGAAAGAAAATTTTGCTCAAAACAATTTTATCTTGATGTTTTTCGAACAATATTATTTAGACAATAGATCAATATGATTTAACTGAAATTTGGTGAGGTTGGATTGCACACACACACACGAACTTGCTAAACAAATTTCTAAATTTTCATAAATATTGCAAATTAAAATTCATGTTATGATTACGTGCTTGAAAATTAATTTTATTACATAATATGTAGATCTTAAAATTTCGTATTCATAAAGTGTTTTGAAATCTTGAGAAATTGCTTAGACCTCATATTTGGCTTTGAAAGATTGGTTAATGCATTCTCAGAGTCATATTTGTTTTTTTTTTCATAATAAAAAATGAAATAAATGAAAAATCTGAAAAGTTTCAAAAAGAATTTGTTTTTGTCTTTAGATAGAAAATTTTAATTGTGCTCGAGTTTTTTGTCTTTTAT